GGGTGGGAAACCACCCGTACGACACTCCATCCTAATAAGGGTCTAGTTTCATAGGGACAGTTCAGGGAGGCGTTTCTTCTAAAATATTACCCTATCCTGGCTTGCATAAAAAAACACACAACCTTTCTGGAGTCGAAGCAGGGAGATAGATCAGTTCAAAATTATAATCTAGAATTCAACAGACGGGCCAAATTAGCTCCCTAGCTACTCTAGGAACCTAGTAGACCTCCATGACATTTAGGATAACTAAGGTAGTTTTCCATACTAATAATAGTATGAACGGTGTCAACAGAGTTTCCCCTGGTACTAATACTATTGAGCTAGGCCTAGGTCGGTTAGGCTAGTGCATCAAGATGATCACATGCTCTAACATGGCCTGGAGTCTCCTCAACGGGACTATGCTCTAAACTCGTCCTGAAAAGGGGCATAGGACCACATAGGTTGACAGAATAACTCGTTGGCACATTGGGGGTCAAACCCGCAAACTAGGGTAACGGTTTTGTGGAAGGGTCGACTAGCTAACCTTTTGTAACAATACTGAAAGAAAAAAAAGAAAAAGGAAAAGGAAAAGGAAAGGAAGAAGAAGGAAAAAAAACTCAAACGCACCTCGCTCAGCCTTCAGCCCACGACCCCAGAACACCTCAAAATACCTCCAAAAAGGAAAAAAGAAAGAAAATACAAGAGAGAGAGAGAGTAAGATTTGAGTAACGCCAGCGAGTTGCCAACTTTTTTCGACCAGTCCAAAGCCACCTGAAAACCGACGCCACGCTCAGTTACCATCACGAGAAGGATCCCTAACGAGAGCACAATAACTCAAGGTATGTTTTGTGCCTTTTTGTAAGCGTCGTCGTCGGTAACCGAGGTCAGAAAATTGGGTTTTTCTAATCGTTCTTGGATATGTGGTTTTAGGAACTTTTAAGCCACAAAACTTCGAGGAAGGAAAGAGGAACGACGAACAGAGAGGATAATGAAGAAAGAGGACCGTAATCGGCAGCAGAAACGCCGCGGGAAGGAGAGAGAAAATGCACCGAAAAATTGTGCAGAAGTCGGGTAAGGAAGAAGGAACCAACAGATCCGGGTCAGCCCGAACCTAATACCCAAACCTGAGGCCCAAACCAATCAAGTCCAGCCCGTGAAATCGAGGCCCAAATTTCGATTGGACCCAAACCTCAATCCAGCCCAACCGCTAACGGTTCAGCTGAACCAACCTGAGACTAGACCCAAGGTCCAACCGAACGGGCTTGCAACCCAAACACCTGTGGCCCAGTCCAGTAAGCTGAGGCCCAACAATTAGTCTGGCCTAGTAGCCTTCTGCAGCCGACAACCCGAGCCACGACCCGAACTGGACTGTGACCCGCGCCTCGACCCGACGCCACCGTACGACATGGCACGTTCTGATGATGCCACGTGGCACACAGCGGCGTAGGTGGTCCGTCGGCTAGGCTCGGCACAAACGGCTTGGGCTCCCTCCGGTGACCTTCTGGCGGCTCCCAGCGGCTATTCGGCTTGGCTCACCTGTTTTCGGCCCAGTTTCCACTATTTCAACCCTCCCATACTTGTTTTTTTTGCCCCGATTAAGGTATTCGAGGCCGTTTTAGAGTCGTATTTCACATTTATTATGTTATTGGTAAATTAATTGTGAAATATTAACGGAAAGTGGCGAACGGTGTGACAGGAAACAAATCCCGACAAAGTAGGAAGTAACTCTCACAGAACAGGAGCTTACGTTTAACTAATTAGGGAGTATGTCGGCCAAGGCCAACCAAGTAAGTGACCTTACTATAGGATAGGCTAAAAAATTGTATGAGCATGATGTTGTGTTATGTTGTATGTTATACATATGTTGATTATGTTTCGATTCATGACGTACATGTTATGTTTGAAGCACTTGATGGCTTTACGATGAGTACGATGAGTATGATGTGTACATGGCTTTTCCATGTTGAGCATGCTTTATGATGATGATTGCCATATTGCATCATGTTGTTAGATCGACATAGGACACAACCCTAAGAGTATGAAAATGATATTAATGTAAATATCCACGAGCACGTGTTACATAGTGTAACCAAGAGATGAGACTAGAGGGTTGTGTCATAAGAGATGTATAATTGAACGTAGAGAGACCTCATGCATATTGTTTGTTCATAAGCATAGGGCTATTTCCCCTAGAGATGATGAGTGCAAACGCACACCGTATGATGAGTGTCACGGTCCTACCTTCTTGACCGTGCGGCGTCGTGATCTATACACGCTCACGACTAGCCTTAAAGGGAATTAAGCCCCATATGTATTTTTCGCCCCGGCTTTGTGGCTTCGTCGGACCTTAGGCGAGGTTTGTGTTAGCCAATCGAACATCGCTTGTGCAGAATCCAAGCTTATTCAACCACATATGCCGCCTGTGCGTGTATGTTCAATCGTCTACGACACATCCGACTTGCCTCTACGCTAGGCCAACTCATTCGATTCGACCTTGCCTCTACTCGAGCCAAGGTCTCTCAATAGTCGCATCTCATCTTGTCATCTCGATCCCCATCGATAGGGTCCATATGTCTTGGCGCCATCCCGAGTCTCGGGATGTTGTCGGCCATCATAACTCATTCGGTCATGCCATCGAGAATGGGCCCGCGTGTCGTTCATCTCATCGGGACTTCTCGAACATCCATTCATCCGGGTTCTATCGAGGCATAGGCCCTTCCGTGCCCATGTCAAGTCATTTACAGATACCGTCCTAGATAGCGGGTGTATATAGCAACCTCCAACACGCGGGCTAGGGCGCAATACTAGTACACCCGTGCCGTCCGGTACTGTCCTTCAAAAATCCATTTCAAAGGAAGTCGCCCGAGACACTCATCTCGGCACGCTCGCCCACACTGTGGCACATATGTGCCACAGGGTAGCTCACTTAGGCCAAAGGGCCCAGGGGTGGTGGAGAGCTAACACCATGGTACCCCCATAGTACATTTTGAGCCATTTTCATTCTAACAAGTGTAGACATGATTTTGGTGAGTTGTCATACGGTGTCGTGCATTGTCCGTCCAATGTCCGATTGACACCAAACTTGGCGAGCATTCATATTTCATATGGACGGACTTAACTCCCGAACCGCATGCCCAAATTCCTTCCGAAACTCCGACTTTTGAGGTTAAGGCCCGGGGCCCTACCTGGCCCTTCAACAAGTCTATCTTGTCCTTCATGTCTATGTTGATGTCTCTGTTATGCTTATGTCTCAACATATATCTTCAATACCCACTTTGTGTGGTGGTGTGTTGGATGATGCATCGTCCTCCTTGATCGCATCATGGCATTCTTCTATGTTGGCCCGCATATGGCCGGATGGGGCGTCTCTTGAGGGACGCCCCTTTGCTTGTCATGGCGTGAGGGTCACAACCTACTCTCTTCATACTATGGTTGTGACATTCTCCTCCACTTAACTTAGTCATCATCCTCGATGACTTACTCGAGTCACAATCATATTGCAGATTGTGACAATGAGCGCGAATGCGCACAGATGAGGGTGTTCATGAGGCGCATGACACTATGGGGTTCCGCTGACCTCCAGACGTCGCTACAGATTAGCTTGACCAGAGGGTCTGGGGGTGTGCGATCGCCCTAGGAATTCACACTCACACGTGTGAATCGTGTATAGGGAAGTACTACACATCTCATTTGTTCGAGACTGGATGCCACCCTTATGATTATTAGACATAGGTCCCTAATTCATGATTGCATGTGTTTGCATTAGCATAGCCCCTATAGTGGAGTCACTTATTGAGTATTTCTCGAAATACTCAGGCCGTGTGCCATATTGTTTTTCAGGTAAAGGCAAGGCGCCCATGTACGGTTGACGGCAACATCATGATCAGAGACTGTGACGCATGCATAGGATCGTTGCATATTTAAAATTTCTAGTCTTGGTTAGAATAGGGTGTTTGCATTTCATTCGTTTAAATTATTTAATTTGTAATTGTTTTTATCTTATTTTGAACTCCAGCATGATGTTTGAAAGACGTAAGTTTGTCAGTGTTCTCTAGTGATTTAATGTATTTTGAAGTTTTAAATTTTTCACTATTTAAGATGAGCATTTTTAAAGTTATATTATGCATTAGAGATAAGCATGAGTCGTTAGAGGCGACTCTGGATATGTGAAAATTTAGGGTCGTTACACCTTCCAAGGATGTTGTTTAGACTAGTAGACATTGTAATGTCCCCATCAAAATTTTATGAGGTATCGCCTCAATCCAGGAAACCAAGAACAGAAAAGATTGAACAATCTTTACCGACTCCAAGAGGTGAGATTTAGACCAGATATTTACTTACTACTTCGAGTCCTCTCCAGTGCTCAGGTAGTAGAAGAGATTAGATCAGAACTACCTCATCATACAACTAAGGAGACAATTCTATCATTTTTCAAAGAGAGTCACCATCCCCCTTGCACGAGAGACAATTTTGGAAAACATGCTTTGTTAGGACATGTTTTTGTGTCCAGATTGTCTACATTCCGACACTCTTTCTTTTGCACAAAGTCTTTCTTCTATCAATTGCTAATTACTAGCGTTGGATCCTTTAGTAAAGTGTCACCATTCTTTACTTTTATAGATGTTTAAGTGGTTTTAGTAAGATTTAGTGCCATTAACAATAATCAGATGCTCTGATATTTGTGTACCTTCCTCCATTCGCAATTTGCAATGTGTGTAGTACATTCTTGACTTGTACTTACCACAAGTCAGAATTCATTTCCATCGAATTTCTCAATATCAATTAAATTGTATTGTAGTATATTTGCGAGTAATGAACAACTCATACTATTCATAATACCGGCTGTAGTTTGTTTTAAGTAAAACTTTTTGAATGTGAAAGTTTAAACAATGGTGCACAACCACAGAGCATACTCACAAATTTGCTTAATTGAACCATGAGTGTGCCTTTTATTGTTCAACGTTTATGTTGGGTGTAAAAGAACAATAACCTCTCCCTCTAGAATCATCAGCTAAATCACAAACCCATAGCTCAAACAGACAAATATTAAGTAATAGATTGTTCGACAAAAAATAATATTAGTGTAGACATACGTATTAAGATTTTTTCCTTTATAACAATTCATTGCATGTCATGTCTTTTTTTTTTTTTTCCTGCCTTCTTAGACCTTTCTTTCGAGCTCTAATCATCCCAAGCCGGAATTAATAGTATCTCCAAAGGACCAATATACTATCACATATCACCAACAAATAGGTGAACCAAAGCCACAAGACAAAAGCCATCCCCAACAAAAGGTTAAAGAACTACAAAAGGCTAGTAAAGGGTGGCATTCCCCCAAACTTCATGTGGCCTCCTCTCCTTGGCATATGGCATTGAAGCACAAAAACCAGAACTTTGGACAGTTACGTAAATGGCCTCAGAAGAGCTGAGATCAGGTAGGAACTATGTACATCTACATCAGTAAAGAAACACAAGACAATACAGATTCATCATCTACTGATCCTCCAAAATTGTTTCAAGCACGAACATTAGAAAACTCCTGAGCTCTCACCATTCCTCATGTCTGACCTCTTCATCATCGCCTTTTGGTCACAACTGTATTTTTGTTGGTCTCATAGTTTGAATCTACAGCCAGTTAAGCCAGATTACTGGTTTTGTTTAACCAATAAGTCATGATAGAGGAGAGCAAGAAGAAACAAGTGACCTAGAATAATGAAGAATACTGGCATTGATTAAAGGACTTATAGGGCTTTGCATACAAGGTAATGACTCAGTAAAACTTCTCTCAGAAGCCACATTATTTCTTGGTTGTGCAGCTTGCTTTCCTCGGAACACGCCCCACAAATAGTACTTTGTTTGAAATCCTGCACATGAATTTGCTCAATGCTTTATACAAGATGCTGGAAATTGCATTCTTAAATGAATTGTGCCTACTAGGAAAAAGACTACGTATCCAAGAAAAACTCAGAAATTATATCTCCAATGCAAAGAAACCTCAAAGTCGACACATCATTCCTAGTTTTCAATTTACCAAGATTGACTCAACAAACTGAAAATTATGAAAAGTTCATGAGGCCTTACTCCAGTATCGCATTGGTAACATGGACGAAGTAAAAACTAATAGCTCAGCATTTTTCAACACAGCTTTCATGGCTAGGTCCTTGCACATCATTGCATTGACCAGAAGATCAAATGCCCTTTGGCTTCTGCAACAAAAATAAAGACATTGTCACAAATAGGAGCAGGAGAGAGACAGACAGATACAAATGAAAGTAGAAGCATAGAATCCATTACCTTTCGTCTTCTGGAAAGAAATAAAGAGCAATACTTAGATCAGTTGGCCCTAATTTCTCAAATCCTCTAGGCCATATTTCACATCTACAGAGTAATTCAACAGGGAGTGACTCGGGTAACGATTTTGCCTCCTCATACACTTTTGAGCATGCTAAGCTAGACATATGGGCAACAAATACACCAACTCTGGCAAAATTTTTGACCCAAAATTTTAACGTTCCCCTGTCATGACCAGAACACCAGTTTTACAATATTTTACAAATTTGATATAAAATAAACATAAATAAAAGGCTCTTACCTCCAAATGGGATCTACTATAGGCCGTGCAACATAACAGTTGTGCCCTAAAAAGTTGGATGCATCAGATGATGTTGTGACTTCACCATGATTGGCCCCACCTTCTCGAACTTGCTCTCCCAGCCCTCCAGGTGTTGTATCATTTTTCTTTTCACTGCAATGTGCCTCAGGTGTTGTATCATTTTTCTTTGATTGTTCGACACACTTTTTCTTTAACTTGACATCAGATTTTACTGCTGGCATTATAATTGCCTCACAATCTTCACAAAACCAAGTAACATACTCATCAAAAGTTTTTGGCAATGCATCTAAGCAATAGCTGCACAATAAAATGATCAAGGTTGAAGGTACTAAATAAATTAGATATCTATTTCCTTAATAAAATCAACAGTGAAATGAAATCCAATCAAGCATTCAGCCAAGCACGTAATTAGCATCGAAGCAAAGGAAATTACTCCATTGACATTTTAGATTTCCGCCCTTTTACAATCTTCTATTAAAAAAGGGGGGCCAAAAATTGAACAAACCACAAGAAAGCGATCTTTTGCATATTAACTAATGGATAACAAACACGAAGGTTGTTTTGGGCACATCTCTGCACAAGAAGTCTCAATGGCTCAATCTCTCTCTTTTTAATTTATATTTAAAATTAATGCTTTTGTTAAGATGAAAGAAAGAAGAAAGCAAGGCCAACAAAAGATTGAAAAAACCAATACAGAGAGTAAAAAAAAGATAACAATTTCAAAAGCCAGCCCCAACGCTCACTAATCAAACATAAAGGGTAATTACAGAAAAAGCAAAACCTGATGAAAGGAGTCAAAATGTGACGATCGCACACTATACGCATGACCTATTTAAATTTTGGAGACATATTTCTTTCCAACGAAATTAACTACAACAAAGCAAGATAACCAGTTTGATAATACTAAGTGCCTTTTTATCCTGAAATGATGGATACAAGCTACTTGACGCTCTCACCTTGTGAGGTCGAGCGCACAAAGTAAGAAATTTAACCATCTTTAGATTCTTTCACCTTCTTTATCCTGTTTCATTAGCTGAAACTTCTCTTATAATATATTTAACTATTATTAGATTTTTTAAGAAATAAGAAATTTAATTTCTCCAAACAACTATAATACCTGAGTTGTTGTGTTTTTAAAGCAACTTAAATGATTATTGATGACAAGACTAGGTGGAGTTTGCCACCTATACCAGTTGGTGGCCAAGGAAAAAGATTCCAAAGAGGGGGAAACCAACTAGTCTCCAAATAAAAATCTATGTATATCTCATCATGTACCTTTTAGTGCATTTACCTAAACTTTATCTTGTCATTGAAAATGGCCTTTTCCCAATTATTATTTTCTGTTTAATATAAAAAATAATCAAGAAAAAAAGCTATAATGCACACGCTCCTCCATTTATTGCAATTACATTTAAAGAATAATAATAAATTATTCATCTCACTTCATGAGGACAATATCTTATGCCTTTTGCCTACAACATAACAACAAATGAAATGATTACAATGTTATTTCATGCCTATAAAACACGAGTTGGTGTCAAGTGCCAGATCTGTGGCTCCAGTGCAAGAGTATAAAAGATTAGACAATTTGATACATTTAACAATTATAGAAAACCAATGATAATTAAGATTTGATATAATGAAAATGCTACATAACCAAACATAACCAATGGTCAGTAATGCATACCGATGGATAGGATAAGTCTGGCATTTTTTACAATAATTTAAAGCCTCAACAAAACCTCTGTCTCCACATTTCTGACAAATGTCAACCTGCAGTGTTAGAAATGGCCATTATTGACAATCTAAGAACCAAATAAACTGCAGAAGAGAAAGCGCTCTTCAGAATAAAACGCGAGTACTGGCACCCTATTTTCTCCCTCACCAGTATTTGTTATGAACAAGAGTTACAAAACCACCAATTTAGCAGACAAGAAAAGCTATTGCTTGCACAAATTAATCCTCCATTCTTAGGATGAGTGGAGGTCATTGGGTATAGAAAACTTCTTGTTAAAGCTAGATCTAGGCAAGCCGTATGATAAGGTGGATTGGTCCTTCCTTGTTGCCATCCTTGAGTTGAAGGGCATTGGCATAGATGGAGAAGGTGGATATTGGGATGTCTTTCTTCGAAAAATATCTCTATCCTTAAAAATGGTCGACCTAGATGTAAAGGGAAAAGACCTTCGGCATGGAGATCCCCTGTCACCATTTTTATTCAATATTGTGGAGGATGCTCTCAGTAGATTGATTTATTGTCACCGTGAGAAGAGATTGATTAAAACCATTGTAGTTGGGAACCTCACAATTGAGGTCATGCACTACAACTATTGTCAACTTGTTACTGCTTCATTCGAGCCTGAGTTTGAATGTCCTGAAGATGGCCTTACATGGAATAAACATGGACATCGATAGCGTGGTTCAAAAAGCTACTTTTTTTTTTTTTGGTAGCAAAGTGGAAATATTTCCCTTTAATTATTTGGGGTTTTTCTTGGTAGGGAAGTTTAGAACTAACGTTGATAAGTGGAGAAGGGTGTCTCTTTCTAACGGGGACATTACTCTCACTCATGCGGTGCTAAATACCCTTCTGTATTACTTCTTTTCTCTTCATGAGAGCTCCTGTCAAAGTGATCAATTGCTCGGAGAAATTTTTAGTGATTTTGTTTGGGATGGCAGTACACTTAAATCGGCTTCTCACCTAGTTGCTTGGAAGTGGACGTCTTTACCTACAAATTATGGAGGTCTTGGGACTGGCTCTCTTCACCAAAGAAACCAATCTCTCTTTATGATGTGGACTAACAATATGAAGGACAAAGAGCTATTCAGCTTTGCCGAGTTTGTGGTGGGGGTGGGAGAAGAATTAAGTTGTGGGAAATAATGCGGTGTGGGCTGGAATCTTTAGGTAAAAAAATCCTAAAGATTCAAAATTGGGTGATTTCTCCCTCAATTTGCTGTCTTTGCTCTCATAAGGAGGAATCTTTAGACCATCTCGTCCTTTTGCAACGAAAGGGTGGCAGACTATTTGCAATGAGTTTGGGGTGGATCTTCGTTTCCTTGCGAAGATTGATGACTGGCTTTTGACAATGCTCGATGGTAGTTTTTTTGGCAGTGAGGGAAAAGACCTTTGGAGATGTATTACACCCTCCTTCCTTTGGGGCCTTTGGAAGGAAAGGAATAGCAGATGTTCAGATATAGATTTTCTTCTTTCGATTCCCTTTAGCTTCTGGGGCAACACAATGCCTCTTGGAGGTACATATTATACTAAATTATTTTGTAAATATAACCTTCTAATGATTATAAACAATTGGAAGGCTCTCCTTCGTAAGTTTTGTGGGGAGGAGTTATCCCTATACCCTGCCCTTGGGCTATTTTGTTGCTTCTTCTGAGGAATATACATCTCTGTTGCTTATCAGATAAATAAAATAAAATAAACATCATAAAAGTATCTCGGCCTTTCCCACTTCCATTTGCAAAATTGTAAGCATAGTTCTGTTGTTTCAGAACAGTCAAACAACAGAGACTAAGAAACAAACTTGTCGACGTTACATTGTCAAAAACCAGAGAAAAAGGAGATAGATCTTAAACCCTTCATCTACGAAGTTATAACAACAACAACATCATGTACATAAATATCAACATGGAACATTTTGTGTCAACTTCAGCTTAGTTCAATGGTTATGGCACCCAAAATCTTCTCAATAGGTTCAATGTTGTAATTCTCCAAAAAATAAAAAATAAAATGTGTTATTGGTTGAAGAAATCCTTTGTTATGTGGCCCAACATGCCCATTGCTCTAACGAAACCCCCAGCTGTAAGCCAGCTAAAGGAAACAAAGACATGCGCTCGAACGAACGAACAGGAAAGGAAAAAAATCCAAATGATCTCACCATTTCAACATCAGAAAAGTGAAGCAATGAGCAGACCAACAATATTCGCCGCTATAAACGCGTATGCAGGGAGCTGCGGACAATGCATCGCAAAAATCAAGAAACGATTGATTGAACAGAATTAGAAAGGAGCGAAATGACAGAAAACGCAAAACTCATTACCCTCTCTTTCTCCAGAAACCGAAGAGCCGAGGGGAAAATTCGAGTCCACAGTCGAAGGTACGCTCTATCAGTTGGCTAGTTTGTACTGCAACTTGAACAGGTCTAAAAGTTCTCTGCAATGGCAGAACCCTCCTTGCTTTTGCAGAAAATGGCAATTGCCATGAATACAGAACATACATCAGCAAGTCGGTTGTTTAAAATTTTATAATTTAATTTTTTAGTACTTGAAAACAATTCATTCTAATCTTTTTTTTGTTTCTCATTTGTTTCATTTGTTTTTCATTTCTATTTTGAACAAAGTATCTGCTCTATTTTATATATTTTTATTTAATTCGGGTCAATTCAAAGATTTTATCTCACGAACTTCAAACTGAACCAATTCAGTTCGGATTTAAAAAAATGAACCCAATTCAAGAATTGTCGGCTTATCATGTTGAATGTACAGGAGACACGAGACAGACACTCTAACGTAAAAACCCAATTAAAATTAAAGTTCCTCCTAATCCATAAAGCCTTAGACTTTTAGTGCAAAATTCTCCCTTAAAATGTTAAAATGTTCGGCTAGTTCAAGTTTCTAGCCGACCATTCTAAATCATGTTAAAAGGTGTCAGAGTTGGAGAGAATGAACTTCAATTTGAACTAGCAAACCGTTCTAAATCATCAAACTTGATCATTACTTTAAACCTCAATTTATTACTTTATAGTTCTTAATTCATAAAGTTAAATCTAGAGTTGAAATGGCCTCCATCAAGCTCACAGTCCAATTTAAAGAACTTGTTTGTCACGAACAATACACGAATTCTCAAAAAAAAAGTGATGGACCAACCACTTGCCATTGACCATAACTTTTGAGTTGGTTGGCCAAAATTGCGAAGGGTGATTTGAAGGTCACAATATGTTCGTCATTATCTTCATGGGTAATATACTTGTGGAAAAAGTAGCCTTGATTACTGCAATATTTATAGAACTAATGAACTGAGTGTGTAAAGACTTTCTCAATATGTTCGTTACTATCTTCATGGGCTATATACTTGTGTGTACTCCAAGATGGACGCAAATCATAAGAATCGCTTGAGAAAAGTCTCATTGGTGCTAAGAGTACAATTGTGAATTCTAGGGACACATCAGATCATAGACTGGGTTGCGTGTTGATGCAGAAAAATCCTATTTAAAGACATAAAATCTCATATCAAGATCCTCGCGATGGAACTATGCAAGAATTTAAAGCTCAAGAACAGAGCCTAAGAACCTAAGATCTCTGGGCAAGAACAAGAATATGACAAGAAATGAGTGTGCTGCACTAGCATCCACTATGGATACGACTAATAACCTACAAGTAAATTATTTACTAAGTCTTTGTAATCACTCTATATTTTCCATGTTTGATAGGTTATCAAGAAGAATCTAATCGAGAATGGGAGCAAATCTGGAGTAGGTGTTATATAGAGCCACATCAATTTTTAATTGTTTTGTTTGCAGAGCCGGCCGTATTCAAACTATTAAACTTTATTTTAGATTTATAAATAAATTTATATTTATCTTTTTTTAACGCAAAAAGCTTTATTGTATTTTACTGTCCTCTTTTTATGTTTTCAAGTTTTTAGTTAGTCGTGACTTCTTAAAATTGGGTCTTGACTAAAATGGAACGAGAGCAAAAGTTTTACTTGGTCCCGCTCGAGAAACGCTATGTGGCAATCAAGTATGTACACCTTTAAGACTTATAAGTTACTTACACCTTTAGGGTTACTTATAAGTTAAGACTCGAGGTAATCGTAACAACCCAAGGACAAGTAATTACCAGTATTTACAAGTTTAAAAGTAATGGCATGGATTAAGGAAGGCAAGGAAAGAAGGACTTAAGACCCTAAAATCTACCAATATGTCTCGTATGATAAGAAACAAAAGGGACCTCTAAGATACAACCTTGAAGGAACAAGGTTGATTATGTCAAGGCTTATTGAGCACAAGGACGAAGAAAGTCTTAAGATGTAAGGTAATACAAGAAAGACTTGTCTTTCTGTTAAAGATATTTAGTAATAAATTATAGTTTACCATATATAATATTTGTCTTATTATCATAGGTATCTTTCCATTTATTGTTATTTCCATTTATTACTATTTCCATATCCTTGTAATTCATTTGATTATAAATAAGATTACTTTCACACCATTGAGGTGTGGTGGATTAATCAAACATTCACACTTCCCCACAAAAAATGTTGAGAATTCTACCAAGATGAACAAATGTCAAAATAAATACATGACCTCAAAACATAAGTTAAGGACTAAAGGACGAAAGGACAATTATAAGAACAAGCCAAAGAAGGACAAACTTTAAAGGAATGGAAAGAATTAAGAGACCCAAGAAACGTTAAGGGGCCTAAGAAAGAATTCTCTATCAAAGAATTATAAGGAGTTGAGGCATTTGAAAAAAAGGGACGTAGATTCCTTATTCATTAATTTCAAGATGTTCAAGAATGAAAAAAAAAAAAAAAAAAATCATAAAAAGTTTAGATTTATAGAATAAAATATTCCAAAAAATAACAAATTACAAAATTGCCCGAGACGTCAAGATAGTTATAAAAACTAACACTGATCTTAGATTTGGTGCAAATTCAATTTGAGAACTTGACCTATGGAGGGTCCTACCCTGATTTTGGCTCTTATACATGTTGCGATGGTAGCCGCGGCAATTTTTCTTGTTGCTCGACTTCTTCCGCTTTTTATAGTAATACCTTACATCGTGAATCTAATAGCTTTTATAGGTATAATAAGCTTATTCTACAATGTCTCAATTGGAATATATGATGTTAGTTTTTTGTATAGGGTCTTATTGAGCTGTTGTATTTCATTTGATTACTCATGCTTATTCAAAAGCTTTGTTGTTTTTAGGATTTGGATCCATCTTCACTCAATTGAATCAGTTGTTGGATATTCCCCAGATAAAAGTCAAAATATGGGTCTTATGGGGTTTTAACTCCACAAAATTGTTCATATCTTAAACTTCAACTGTTAGATAGAGCTGAAATTTAAGTATGATAAGAGAACTTGAGGTTCTTTAGATTGAACTGTTGATATTCAAACCAAGGTTGGTAGAACCCTCAACGGAGTACATATTTCCAACCGTCTATCAAGAAACTTCAAGTTAAATTTAAACATGATTCTAGAATGACTAAAGGCGGTGCAAGCTTTATCAAAAAATAAAAAGTTGTAGGCAATGATTTAGGACAAGAATCACATCATGAGAGTTCCTATAACTCGAGAAACAAGCCTTTAGATTTTGGGTATTCTTTCTTCATATTTCTTCTGAATTCGAGAGTTATGGTATACAATTTTTCCTCAAACCAATTCCTACACCTTCTAAATGAGTTTTTCAACAAGTTTCTGGAAGGATTCAAGGGCTTCAAGTGTCCTTAATGTATTCCACCACCATTAATAGTCAAGAAAATTTAATCGGAGGCTACAAGCAAATGTCCTTTCTATCGATACCAAACGCTTCTTGAGATGATAAGAAGTATTTTTTATGCAAACCATGAAACTAAAGAGGTCAAGTACGAGGGTAATTGAACGAAACTCCAAATTCTTCATCCACGTTCATGAAATTGTGAGTAGAAGATTTCATGAAAAAATCGTAATCCGAGGTGGTGAGGAAATGTTGATTCCCCTCGAAAAAAATGTGTAAAGTGAAGGTGTTAATATAACACATGCGGAAGCAATTTGGATCTTAGGCATTTTTAGAACATGAATTATAGTAAATAACTAGCATGTTTATAAGTATTAAAACTTAATGAGTTTGAATACTAACATTTTGTAGTTCAAATTCCTTTTTCCTCACGAACCGGTTTCAAACGACCACTAGTGTCTTCTCCACTATCCTCTGGCCTTAGAACGGGATTGTGGAATCCGATGAGTGACTTAAACTTGGAAGAGATATTGTATATATGAAGAGAGTGTTTGTGAGAGGTTTTTCTCAAGAAGAAGACCTTTCATGTATTATGATCACTCTATTTATAGACTCATGTTTGCATGTTCATGCAAATTTGAGATCACCAAATTTTAACACTCAAAATTCCACTCAAAATGTTTGGGATTATGTGGCAAGCATGCATGCTTGAATCAACCAAATTTTGACACTCTAAACTCTAAACTCAAATGTTTGGGATTATGTGGCAAGCATGCATGCTTGAGTTAACCAAATTTTGACACTCAAATTTGTGAGGTTTATTGGGCAAGCATGCAAGTTTGGTTAAACCAAATTTTGATACCTCAAAATTCCACTAACATGGATTTTTCCATTAAATGAACTCTAACATTTTGACTTTCTTTTGATTCAACAATCAATTTGAATCATTAATTTCAAATTAAAGTAATATTAAAGGATTAATTAAACTATTTAATTAATATTTAATATTAATTCAAATGTCAATCCCAATTAATTCCGACACATATTTGATTAAGATATTTAAATCTTATTTTAATATCTCATATTCTCTCTTTTTGTTTAATTCGTAAATGAAACAAAAATGCGGTTAAATATATCGCATATATGTGTAGCGCATTCTCCCTAATTTGAATTCGAACACTTCGAACTCACTAGACACTGTTCTATGGTTTAGTCCGATATGAGCTAGCAGAGGGACCTAATGGACCTATAGATCATGGGCTCCAACGATCCAAGATTAACCGGTTAAACTCATTAACCTTGTTAACCAACATTCATTAACTACTAGGACATTCCACTATAGCCTAGTAGTTGCACTTCCCTCATTATAGATATATTTCTGTCCATTTGATATAACCATGATTAGTAAGTCGACCCTTCACAGGTTGTTCGTAACTAAAGCTGGGTCAATTTATCGTTTTACCCCTGAAGTTACTTTTTGTTCTTTATGTCTCACTGATCTTCTAATGAACAATTGGTTTGTGGTTCAACTAGTAAACCGAATCCCTCTCGTACCAATGAGAGGGTGGGGCCCCTTGTTCAAGACCTGGGGTCAGTACTTAAGGGAACTACCTCTCTTCTATCCCTAAAAGTGGGTAGGAGTGAATTCCATCTTACACCCCACGTCCCCAGCCATTTACCTAGTCTTACCCCTGAAATGGGAGGCCTATTGAGTCGGCGAACTTGAGCCACTCTCACCCATGCAAATCTAAGGATAATTCCGAATAAACAAGAGT